AACTAGATGAGTGGTTGCAACAGATCCCGGGAACAACATCGGACATCTCAGTCCAGAAATGTGCAGTGCTGGGAACAGCAAGGATACTGCGCAGAACCCTCAAGCTTCCTGGCCTCTGGTAGAGGACCCGAGCTGAATGAGGGATGGACACCACCCGAGGGGTGAGACGAGGATTTTTTTTTTTTTATATATATACACATATATATTACACCTAGATGTTGGAGAAGTGGTAGTCTGCTTGGATACTGTCATGTTGTCCTTGAGGGTCATGCCAACAGTGGCCCAATGGATGTCATAGTTTTAAAACCGGGCAAAGTAACCAAAGAGGTTGGTTTTGGTTTAATAAAAGAGGCCATTCTGGGGTGGTTTTTCTTTTTTTTTTTGCATTAATGCAGGCAGGTAACACAGCACTTCATCTGGCCAGCCAGAATGATCATGCTCAGACTGCTCGTCTTCTGCTTCTTGGAGGAGCCACACCAGACACGAAGAACAAGGTGAGTTTTTGATGCTGTGCTAGAGTCACGATCAACTTAAAGTCAAGTCAGAAAAATCCACCACTCAACATTCACAGAGCAGTTCATTTCATCCAAAAATTACTGGTTAGCATCTTCATTTGTACCAGGGGTGTCCAAACTTTTTCTTCCAATAGCCAGTTTTACATCTTTCATTTATCATCACATAAGACCAATCTCTCAGTGGAGGTAACAATATGCAAAGCCATGCTTGGTTTTTACACAGTATATTATATAGTTAGTGAATAACCCCCACTCGCCCATTGTAAATAGCACAGACACCTTATGCAGCACATATGCAGTTGCATATCTGCTTATATCTTAGATTTTGTATTTTTATGTTGCATTCTGTACTGTGTACGATTCATTAAAAATATATATATATTGTGCATGCAAATACTTGTTTTCTACTTTTTTCTACTTCTTCCCTCCGAACTTTGCTGCTGTACATTGCAAATTTCTCCATTGTGAGACAAGAAAGGTTTTTCTTATCTTCACTAATAAATAAATAAATAAAAACAGGTTGGTAATAAACCACAAAGTTCATGATTTCACAGGATTTTGGGATGTCTCACTGATCCTACCAAAGGATGTGTGATTGGATAAGAACAACCTTTTCTTTTCTCTTGCCATGCCACCCCAGTATACAAACGCGACATAGTACTTATTTCTCATTGGTTTAGTCTTATTTTTTGTTTTAGTCCAAAAATTGTGACATTGCCACATCATGAACAATTACACATAATACATACTGTATACACATACTGTACACTGAAAAACAGTCTGAACAACAAATGCAAATCTACACTCATGATTGTGTGTGTGTGTGTGTGTGCGTGTGTGTGTGTGTGTGTGTGTGTGTGTGTGTGTTTTCTGTTTTTTACTGTAGAAAGGGGAAACAGCTCTACATGTGGCAGCTGCTTTGAGCCATAAGAGGACAGTTCAACTTTTATTGGATTCTGGGGCAGATGGAAAAATCCGAAACAATGTGAAGTGCATCCGTATTTCACATTTTAAAACGATTTTAATACATGTAGCAATATGTCATTCTAGCAGTTTGGAGGTATGTGAATTGCTTACGGGAAGTTCAACAGTGATGTTCTCACTCCAATACATTTCACACATCTTACGGCAGGGGTGTCCATCACGTCAATTCTGATCTACCGGTAGATCTAAGGCAGGTCCCAAGTCGATCCAAGGAGTGTCGAGGAGAAAAAAAAAACAACAAAAAAAAACATTTGTGTGTCTTTGTACATGTTAGTAATATATTTTTTTGTGTGAATGTACGCTGCACCCTAATCATCCTATCAGTCTCATTTTCACAAAAAAATATATTTAAAAAATAAAGTAAAGCAGGTAATTCTTGAATTTACGGTGACGCGTGATTACGTCGCCGGAAGTTGTTAGCGCTCAGCAGTCTTTAATTGCAGCTTGTGATCAGAGCTGTTGCGCTCTATCTTTTATCATAATTCTCATTCAGAGTTTGTTTCGTGTACAATTCACCGAGGGCACGGGCAAAGAATAGGAATCTAGGAGGGCCCAGGGAAGCACTTTAAAAGGTATGGTGAGGTACGATAGTTAACAGGCTGCAAAAGTGCATCGCATGCCTCAGTTTCAGGCTGTCTGTCATCATGGCGTGCGTGCGTGTGCGTGTGAACGCGCGCGAGCCGGTAAGGGTAGATCCCGGGAGGTTAGGTGATCGAAAAGTAGATCTTCGGTCCAAAAAGTGTGGGCACCCCTGTCTGACGGTATATACCGTAGTTTCTGTACTATAAGGCAGACCTAAACATATTCAATTTTCTCAAAAGCCGACAGAACGCCTTATAATCCGTTGTGCCTTATATATTGTTGGGGGAAGAGCGGCCTCCTCTTCCTCGCGTGTTCGTTGAATTTCGGACGAGGAGAATGTTGGTAATCCAAATAAAGGCTGGAGGCGATGTACAGTTCCTTCGAAGGGTTTTAATTTATTTTCTGCAGTTTACAAATCGATTTGGGCTCCTGAGGGGTCCAGATTTCAATCAGGAAGCGTAAAAGAAACACATTCATGAGATTATATACTCGAGACAATATGATAATGAGAGGCGGGGAGGGACGCCCCTCATGCAAATCCCAGAAACAAA